TGGTAAATCAAGTGTGAAAGAAGAATTAGCAGATTCTCTTGTAGTTTGTTCTTGAGTTTCCCTTCTTACGAAGATACCTGTCCTCTTAAACGCATAAATCAAAAGAGTAACTCAAGCAAATATTAGCACAAACTAAAAATTAAATAATAATAATAATAATAATAATAATAATAATAATAATGATAATGATAATGATGATAATAATAATGATGATAATAATAATAATAATAATGATAATGATAATAATGATAATAATGATAATGATAATAATGATAATGATAATAATGATAATAATGATGATAATAATAATGATAATAATGATAATGATAATAATGATAATAATAATAATAATAATAATGATAATAATAATGATAATGCTAAAAAAAATAGAAATAAAAATAAAATACTCAATAAGCTAAACAAAGAATTCTCAAAGAACATCATTCCCTGGCAACGGCGCCAGAAATACTTGTTGAATTATTGGCAAACGTACCAAATTATCAATCGCAGTATAGTATTTCGATTAAATAAAAGTCGATCCCACGAGGAACAGTTTCAATGGAAATTCTCAATTATGCTTACTAAGTAGATTAAAATAGATTAGGTTTTGCAAATAAGAGTTGAATTGAAATTAAATGACAAAGAATTGTAAATTGCTGAGAAAATATCAATTAAAGGTACTTAGGATTGGCTTCCTTCCTTATCCCTCTTTTGTAATGACTAAATCAATTAAGAACGTCAATTAACCTAACAATGTTAATGCCACCTACTCAAATCATCCATGTTGATTCCTCACACATGAAATTCATAAGAAAACCTAATAAATGTTGATTCCTCACACAATTAACAGATTTTCCAGGGTTAGGGTTAGGGTGTTAAGCAATTGATACATTCATTCTATTCCTGGCAATTAACGTAACAAATATTCTTACCGTGATCTAGGGTTCAAGATATATTTTCCAATCATACCTCAAACAATCAAGAATAAATCATTCCAAAGCATAAAGGATAAGAATAACAACATCAAAGCATAGATTAATATATCAAAATATCACCATGATACAAAAGAGTTCAAAGGAAGTGCACCGAATCCTAAGAGAATGAAGTTAGCCACTCATGTTGGCCATTACAATGCTCCAATTGATGAAGTGAAGAATTGGTGAAGATTAGACAAAACCCTAACAGTAGTCGTGCCTCCTCTCCTCCAAGACTGCCCCCTTTCTCAAAACACAACTTATCTTTTTATAAGAGAATTTGGGTCGGGCCTTGCATCATTCATTCGCTTAAGCGCTCTTCTTTCTTTCAATTTTACTCTAATTATGCTGACAATTATGCTCCTTCCTTTTGTATCAAGGTATTCTCGAATTCATCCTATATTGGGAGAAAAATATATTAGAATTAACATAAGTTAAGTGGTTTCATAACAATTCAAGGCATAATTATATCAACTTTTTACCACTTAACAGGGTGTCAATATGGGTTCTAACCCATGAGCCAACCCGGCTCACCACGGATTCGAGCCGGGTTGGGTTCAATTTTTTTTATTTATACCAATTATGGGCGAAAAATGAACCCGACACACTTAACCCACGGATTAAACGGGTTCGAGCCGAGTTATGGTGGGTTGGCCCACAACCCACCATTAATTTTAAATTTTAAAAATAATTATAATACTTTAGTAACCATAATTGATGTTATCATGTCTTACCTCTACCCTACATTGTTGGTTGTCGCCACAAGTCAAACCCTCACTTAAACTTGTTATCAGTTATTCGCTACACCACTACGTTTGCGCTGCACTTGGGTCACTTGTCTTATTATCTATCAACTGCACCACTACACCATGTTCATTGTATTGCTTTCAAATGTAAAAATTTGTTTCATAACCTAAACTATTGGATTGATGAATATTTATTTGAAAATTATAGCATTTATACATTATTTGTTGTTTGTTATTAATTTATACGTATATCTCTTTAATATATGAATTTTTGACTTCTTTCTTTTAAATTAATTTTGCAGTATGGAATCTAAAACAATATATCAAAGTGTCAATATAAATTGTATTGGTGATGATTTTATTATTAATGAAAAATCCAATGAGCCAATTTCAGTTAATAACGAAGATACTGATGTTGTAAAAGAAAAGAAGAAAACATAAGTTTCTATATAATTTAAAAAATAAAAAAAATATGGGTTAGTGAGCCAACCCACCAACTCATGGTGGGTTAAGTCGGGTTGTAAAATTTCTGGCACGCTAAAAAGTGAGCCGGATTGAGCTCACCTATTTTCAGCTCAACCCGTGATGAGTCAACCTGTGTGAGCCGGGTTGACTCACTTTTAGGAGTTATAATATGATAAGTGTATATCTTTGATGTCTAATCTTACAAAAATCATTTAATGTTTGTGTGACATAAATGTGAGTATGTGAGGATGTGGTGTAATATATAAAAATTTGAATTGTATTAGTTTATATCATCTTTGAATTTTACATACTTAAATTGAATTAACTTATAAGGTGTGTTTTGTATGTTACTTTAGACTATATAATGATAATATGTTTACACAATATTTGTTTACTCTATATTTACTTATGAGGTGATATGTATGTATATGTCCGAATTTTTTGTATTTATTGTATTTATTACATCTAACAAAAATATTTTTTATATTAATCCATTTAAATGCATATTATAATAATAATTTACAACTAATATATCTTATTATTTTACTATATATAATATTATATTTAATAAATAAAACAAGTATAATTTATTACTAAAATATTTTAGATTTATTTATATTCTTTATTATTTTTTTATATTGACTTAAATATTAAAATATTTTTTAGTAAATAAATTTTAAAATAGCAATTTTCACGTAATTCATTCACCAAGAATTTTTTAATAGGAAATATATATATATATATATATATATATATATATATATATATATAACCAATAGGAAATATGCATAAGTGATATTATCTTATATTTTATTATTTTACGGTTAAATGATATCTGCTCTTGTTCTACTAATTTTAAACACAAATTCGAAGCTTGACTTGGTTCTTTTCTAAAACTAATATAAAATATTTCTTAAATTAATCATTTCTCATGAAATATGTTTACTTACTAAGTTTTTTTATACGATAGATAACAAAAGGAATTCATTAGTTTTTTTTTCCATAAAGAGTCTAACATGGTCCTTATTAAGAATATCATTCTAATCATGTTTATTTTAACTTTTTCTTTTTAAATATATACAGTGAGAGAGTAAAGAAATTAAAACTAATAAAGATATTAAAAAAATTAAAACATGTCTTATTAGTATTAATTCTTTTTCTTTCTTTTTAAAAAAAATGAAATTTAGAATAAATTTAATAATACTAACTAATTTTTTAGTGAAATTAATTAATCTTTATAAAAAAATTAAAAAAAAACATATATATATATATATATATATATATATATATATATATATATATATTCCTTTGTGCAGGAAGATTTTCTGCACAAATTGTATAATTATTATTGCATCACCAATAAAGTGAGGTGGCAGGGCTACATATGATTAATGTTTCTGACCATCAAAGCAAGAATTCCACGGAACAGATCTCTGTACATTCTAATTTCCAACTTAACAGAATCACATTCACATGTATCCCAATCCAACGACGAAACAAGAAAAAAAAAGATTGGAATGTCAAACTTTTAGCATATTTTACCACACATGCGACAAGGTAATATTATTTGTTACAATTTAATGTTTAAATATTTATTTCATTTCTTTATGTGTTTCTGTAGTCAGTATTTTAGATATCATATTAATATTTTTTACTCAAAATACAGAAAGAAAATCAAATTGAATGCACAAACTAATCGATAAATAAATAATGTAAATACAAAAAATTAATTAGATGAATCCTTAGATTTAATTAAGTTAAAAAATTGAACTAGATATTACATACAATAAAACAGAAAATAATCAAATCATTTTTTTATTAATTTATTTCCATAGTTAATATACCATTGAATAAAAGTTTAACTGAGATAGTTGTGAAATAGGTTTCACACAAGGTTATTAAGTCAAATGATATTCATAAATTCTCAAAATAATTATCATGTATGATATGTATTAACTTCGGACTATTATTTATAAAAATATGTTTTAATATAACACAAGTAAAATTGACAAGAGATTTTTCACATGAGATCAAAGTCTGCAACTTAACCAACCTAATCTCTCTAGTATTTATAATATCATAGGAAGAGAGAGACAGTGTGAAAAGGAGGTCCCTCCAAAACTGAAGTAGGTGACAGTTAGTTTTTCTTCAAATTCTTCAACTCTACGGGGTCCTAAACAAAGGTCTCATTATTCTGCCACTACTTTACTTTTTATTATTATTATTATTATCAATAACTGAATCACCATGCATGGTAGCTTCAAAAGGATGATCCAGATGCGTAGGGCGAGGCTATAGTACTGGTTTATGCCATTAATGGTAAGTTGCATATTCATTCATGTGAACAAGATTTGGAAGATTTTTTTGGCTTTTCCATGATGCATGAAATCATGTCTGTGTAGTGTTTTACATCGGGAACCTGCGAGTATTTACATCTCTCACTCACTTCTTGTTTATAGCATTTGGTTTTTAAACAAATCTTTTACCAATCAAATCATTTATTTGACATCAATATTATAAAAATAGTTGTTTAAAAGAAAATATAATTTTTTTTTCTATATATATATATATATAATAAATTTTTATATTACAAATTCTTTATCTATCGTATTTTTAAAGTATGAAAATGTAATATATAAAAAATTGGTATTATTTTGTAATTAAATTTGAACTTCCATATTAAAAGTTTGCATTTAAACAAAACTCTAAATTCAATTATACACCACTTACTATATTTATAACACAAAATATAAATTTTGTCATATATTTAACTCTACAATTTTTAAATAAAAAAACAAATATCTATTTTAACTAGGACAGTTACTTCAGATGCATGTGATCTTTATACGTGTGTTACTCTTTCAAGAACAAAGGTAAAATACAGAGGTAAAAGAATAGTTATTAAATAATGTGTTCTTAAAATCTGGCTAAATAAAATAATAGTTATGAAATTTTAAAATATTTTAATAAATTCTTATTTAGATAGAATTGAATAATAAATTGAATAATAAATAGTTAGATCTGTGTGTAAAATAGTTCACAAATATATTAAAATAACAACGATTCTTCTGATCTTTTTTTCATATTTTATACAAATATTTTTATAAAATTATTATAAAAATTATAAAATCATTTTTTATAAATTTAAATTATTTTTTATAAAAAAATTTACAAAAATAAATAACATTTTAGTACAGGGTAGTTTTGATTGTTCGTTACGAACAGAAATACATACATTAATATCATTTAAAAATAAATATGTTTTTATATTACTTTTATTGAAATAAAATAAATATTTCAAAAGTCATGTTATCATAAAGCTTCAATGAGATATAAGAGTATTAGATACGAACTAATAATAGGATTTTAAGATATATAGTTTCAAATGCATTTATCTGATAAATTTCATAAATTTTATTATGATTTTTTTAATAATTCTAATATTTATTATGATTCATATATTTTATGTTTTAAATTTATATCTTAGTGTAATTTTTTATCTTTAAAAGATATATATATATATATATATATATATATATATATAAATTATTTTTAATTGTATAAGTATAATGAAATTTAATTTCTAATTAAGAATAAAGAGATATATATGAATGACTAACTTTAGATGGGATTTGAGAATATTTTGACTCCATATTTATTATTATATTATTATTATGATTAATTACCACATTTAAAATATTATTTATTTTAAAATTCTAATTTTATTCTTAACATATAGATCTCAAATGAGAATATTTTGACTCCATATTTATTATTATATTATTATTATGATTAATTATCCATATGAAACATTATCTATTTTAAAATTCTAATTTTATTCTTAACAAATTTTAAATAATTGAAAAAAAATATAAACTAGTTTTAATAGCAATTCCTAATTTATATTATTAGCATAATAAAATATAATGATTTGTCTATAAATTTCATTCAAATAAAAAAGATGCTAAAATTAAAGCATATCAAAGTGGCTATTCATAAAAATATTAATAGTGCAATAGATTAAGATTAGGTATATTTAAAGCACCATTAAAATCAGTTTTATGTTATAAAAAATATTTATTTACTTAAATTATTATGACAACTAAAATAAACAAAACCATGCTAGCTCCATTCCTATCATCTTCTAAATGATCAAATGTTACCTTAAACCATCATCACACCATCAATTAAATTTTTTTATCTCTAATAAATTATTATATTTAATTTTTCATCTCTAACCTTTTTTTTTTAACCTTTTATGGTTTAATAAATATTTTATTTTTTTATCTGAAATATCTAAATCACTTTATTAATTCAGTATTAAAATATTATTCAAATTGCTTTTGAGACTAAAATTAAAAGAAAAAATTTATTAATAATAAATAAAAAAATAAAAAATAAATTTAAGAGATCAAGAGTGAAAATACAATATTTTTTCTATAACTAAAAATATATTCAAGTGTAATACATATTTAAACCAAGTAACCACACAAATCAAATTATATATATTTATCAATTTCAGAGAGTTTTTTATTTTATTTTATTTTTAAGTTGTTATCATCTGTTTTAATTTGTTCATGAGTAACTCAATCTCTTACTATACCTCACAGGAATCCACAATTAACATTTTCTTTTGATTTTCTATTATTTGTTGTATTCTATTTTCGTAAAATATGGGTTGAATGTATAACTGTCAAATTTAAATTTTAGAAATTATTCATAAATATTTATTCTTTATAATTTTTCTTTACGTAGGTTTACAGACAATTTTCTGAGTAATCAATGGATACGACTCTGGATTCGATATATGATTGCTAAATAGTGACGACAACAAATCTCAAATAAAAAACAATTATATTTTTGTCACAAAAACTCTAACCACATCACCACCTTTAATTTGCAACCACCAATACCACCAGAATAATCATCCACAGACTGGACTGTTGTATACAGATTCTAATTCATTTCTTAAAGTTGGAATCTGTCTCTTTTAGAATGCAGGATGCGCCCTAAAAGGGAAAGTGTGAAGTGATAATTATTGATTAAGAAATCAATCATTAATATTGCGACCAATTATGTACTTAATAATAAATTATGAGTACGAAAATCAATTATTGTATAATTGTTTCACTTTAGCTAAAAACATCAAAATAAGAAAAATTTTGAATATAGTTTTCTTTTCTAATAAATATTTGGAATCTACACCACAGAAATATAATAAATTATGAAATTCTTGAATTTCAAGTACCCTTACTTCTCTTATTACACTTGCTTCATGCTTTAATAAACTCGAAATTTTGGAGGTTACATAGTTTTCTAACTTGTGAAAATATTTAAGAATATCCTCTGAAATTTCCTTTTGCCTTTGCACCAAAAATAAAACTTCCCATAGCCTTTTGTCACGAATGTAATTAAGTTGACAAAAATTTCATTTTTTAATTTGAATTTAGATTCTTTAACTTTAATTCATTTTCTCGCAAGAAAATTCTGGTAATTTGTATTCCATTGAAATTAAATGTTTAGTAAATGAGTTAAATTAAATAATTTCTAATATTTTGTTGATAAAGTTTTACGAATTTAAGATGATATAATTAATTTAACTAAATGACTAATGATTTTTTTAATCTTAAAAGTTAATAAACAAATAATCTAAATATTTTATTTTTATTTATATAAAATTATTATCTTTCTAATTTTTTTTTAGAGTTCTTTCTAGGGTTTTAAATTTCTTATCCTCTTATGTTGAGATAATAAAGTCTATAAATAAGAGGGCTTATCATGGTTAACATTTTATAAAATATTATCATGACACATTAACGTAAAATCATTTTATATTTTGTAGAGATTGATGACAATAACAAACACTTCTTCCGGTCATTACTCGAAACAATTTGACTTGATTGAGTTTACGAGACATGAACCTCCTAGATTTTATTTCAAATTTAACCTGCATCAGGCTGATTAATGGATCAGGGAACTATAGAAGATTTTAAGACAATTTTTTGTCCTAAAAATAAGAAGTATCTTTTGCTATGAAGGGTCTTTCGAGGAAGATTCATCGATGAGACACAACATCAATGAGACATAAGTTGAACTCATATAAATGATTAACGTCACTTTTAACGTAAAATCTCAGGACATTACGCAACTATGAGTCTTTTTTCTTTATATGTTGTTCAACTTCCTCATTCTTATTCAATATAGGACTTAGATTCACTTATATTTTCTAACAATCTTTCCCTCAAGTGTGAGTCTTTTCGTATTGGTAATCCTCTCGAAAGATCTTTTATGCTACACATCTTTTGTCTAGTGAAGTAGAAACTAATGAATTGATATGGATCAAATGATGGAGACTAGTGTAGAGCCAAAGGACTAGAAGAACTTTAATAGGAGATTCCTAAAAAATATTTTTCTTAACAATGTTGGCTTTGTGAAAGAGTTAAGAGTTCTTATGATGAAAATATGTGATGTTACTAATATGGCGGCTCCCATATGATAGGACAATGTCCTTATACATATTTTACGAGAAAGTGTTATATTTGCCAAAAATTAGGACATATGACTAGAGAGTGTATAACTTGGAGGAGAACATCCACGTATAATGGTTCTCAGTAGGCTCATGAAAGCTAATAGAGCATTCTCTATGAGTAGAGTTGAAGATTCGTAATCATTCAATTTGACACAATGTTTGTACTCAATATGTACTAGAAAATTAAGAGTGTTGTATATTTTGGAGTGACCTTCTTTGTGAGATGAGTTTGTCAGTAAGGAAATTATTTTTTTCTAGTAGTTTCATTCTCATAGTAGAGGGACACAAATTCAAAGTGAATCTAATTTGCTTAACACTAAAATATTTAGATGTATTTTTTCGAATGAATTGATAATATGTTAATCATATTCTTATATATTGTATCCAAAAGAAGTAGGTGGTTCCACACCTAGTGATAAGGAGTTAGTGGTTACCTAATAAGTTTGGAGTGGGTTGAATATGAAGCAAGTTGCTATATGATTTACATAAATGAGTGGTAGTAGTGAAATAAACATGATATTAGTAGGACAAGACTTCATGGATGTATTCCTTAATGATGTCCTAGGTTGCCTATTGATCCTCTAGCAAGTGTACCGAAGTCAACTGTAGTATAATAGTTTAATGTAGAGTATTAAATCCACGAGGGACGGTTTACTCATTAAGCACTTGTACATATAAAGAATGATTTTCATTGTTGATGATGAATTGATATTGTATAGCATTTACAACAAAAATGATATTTGCTATGAAATAAATTCAGTGAAAAGAACTGAGATTTAATTTCATCTATCTCCCTCAGCTGCACTCTAATTAAACAAAATTCACAAAACCTAATATCTGGAATAAATGATATTGATGAAACATACCAAAGTCATTTATACTTATTCCTCAAGTACAAATTCCATAAAAAAGATCTATTAAATGTTGATTCCTCAAACAATGAACAAATAATCTAGCATAATGATATATTGAAATCTATCCCTAGTATCTCAATAGATAAAGTATTTTCATTCAAGTCAATTTTTTAGAAACACCTCCCAGTTAAATCTAAGAAACAAAATTAAGAAACTATAAAGAATCAAACATAGAGAACAAAATGAAAATACCAACACCAATTAGATAAGATATTACTTTGTGATAAACATAGAATATACGATTACAAATACCGTATCATGCCATGATTCTACATGATTAATTTTTTCCATATTTAGCTTGGCATGACAGCGATGCACAGTGATGCACATTAATGTCATATCTGTTAATAGACAAATTTAGGATACCGACTATAATGGTTAGCGTAATTATAGCCTAGAATGTTTCTGTATTTCATGTATATATTGTGCTATCATATTCAATACAAGACAGGGGTTTTTGGAAATATTTTTATCATGGTATCGAGCGAACCAAACTCCGATATCCAACAGCCCGAGAACACAATCGTACTTCTAAAATGGCAGAGAGAGGAGAGACGGTGAAGAAAACACCATCGCCATACGATCCGAGTGCCGTTGATAATCCCGGAAATGTGATTACACAGGTACAATTACGAGGAGAGAATTACGAGGAATGGGCAAGGGCCGTGAAGATATCTCTGCGGGCTCGAAGGAAATGGGGTTTCATAGATGGAACTCATAAGGAACCTGAAGAAGACACATCTCGAGATAGAAGATTGGTGGACAATTCAATCGATGCTTGTATCTTGGATACTAAACACTATAGAACCTAGTTTGCGTTCCACTCGTTGCATACATGGAAAACGCAAAGGACCTATGGGATGACATCAAGGAACGATTCTCGATCGTGAACGGACCAAGAATCCAGCAGCTAAAGTCAGAGTTGGCAGAATGCAAACAACAAGGAATGACTATGGTTTCCTATTATGGGAAGTTGAAAACGTTGTGGGATGAACTGGCAAATTACGAGCAAATCCCACAGTGTAGATGTGGGGGATGCAAGTGTAATATTATGACGCAACTTGAGAAACGAAGAGAAGAAGAAAAAATTCATCGAGTTCTTGATGGGGCTAGATGATGAGGGCTATGGAACTGCACGGTCAAATGTTTTGGCAACAGATCCATTACCCTCGTTGAATCGGGTGTATGGCACCATGGTGCAAGAAGAAAGGGTGAGAACAATCACCAGTGTCTAAAGAAGAGCGAGGAATGATCGTGGGAATGGCTATGCGAGCGGAAACCAGGAACAAGTTGCGCAATGAAGCGAAAGAAAAATCAGCTTGTTTGCATGCAGAGGTGGAAGGAAGGGACATGACAAAGGCAATTGCTTCAAGATCATTGGTTACCCGGAATGGTGGGGAGAGAGACCACGAACCGATAAAAACGATGAAAAAAATCAACAAAGAACAGGAACCTTCCGAGGAAAAGGAGGAACGGCTCGCGTCAATATGGCGCACACCGGTGCAGTATAACGTTGGTTCAACCGAAAAACCGAAGTCGCAGGACCGAGTAATGAGCAATGGCAGATCTTGACAAAGAATGTTGAATTCTCGCAAGGCAAATGAAACTGAAAAGATGACTGGTAAGAAAGCATGTGACTTGTGGATTATTGATAGTGGCGCATCTAATCATATGACAGGAACACTAGAAAACTTGAGGGAGAGTCGAGCCTTGGAAGGGTGCCCAGTGGGACTACCAAATGGTGAATTGGTGCTGGCAAACAAAGAAGGATCGGTTTTCCTTGATGGAGGACCGAAACTTAAACATGTTCTATATGTCCCAAAATTGAATTGCAATTTGATTTCAAGTATCACAATTGATGTAATGAAGTAAAATGTACAAGTACATTTTACCGATAGATTTTGTGCAATGCAGGACCACACTTCGAGGATGCCGATTGGTGCGGGTGAACGAAAAGAGGGACTCTATTGGTATCGTGGTGTGAGTGGCATAAAGGCGTATCGGACCAATGCGGAAAATCAACTAGAGATTTGGCACAAGCGAATGGGACATCCCGCCTACCAGATTGTTAGAAAAATTCCGCATCCGAACAGCGTGAATAGAAATACGGATACAACTCGTGTGTGTGAAGTGTGTGAGAGATCAAAGCAATGCAGAAACACATTTCCTTTAAGTGATTTTCAAGCATCCAATATATTTGATTTAATACATTGTGATGTATGGGGTCCATATAGAACTCCCTCGTCTTGTGGTGCATCTTACTTTCTCACTTTGGTTGATGACTGTTCTCGAGCCGTGTGGATATATCTCTTGAATAATAAGAAAGATGTGTCACAAACCTTAATGCATTTCATCGCATTAATAGAACGACAATACGAGAAACAAGTCAAAATATTACGAAGTGACAATGGAACCGAGTTTATGTGTCTTCAACGATATTTTCAGCAACATGGGATACTCCATCAAACCTCATGCACTCGGAACACCTCAAGCAAAATGGGAGAGCCGAACGAAAACATCGACACATCCTAAATGTAGCTCGTGCTCTACGATTTCGTGGAGAACTTCCACTTCAATTCGGGGAGAATGCATTTTGACCGCAGGATACTTGATCAATCGTACACCCTCAACCGTTCTCCATGGAAAAACTCCATATGAAATATTGAATGGGAAGCCACCCACTTATGACCATCTACGGGTATTTGGATGCTTGTGTTATGCACATAACCAAGATAGGAAAGGTGACAAATTTGCAAGTAGAAGTCGCAAGAATGTATTTGTTGGATATTCAATCGAAAAAAAGGGCTGGAAATTGTTTGATCTCGGAAAGAGAAGTCTTCCGGACTTCGAGAGATGTTAAGTTTGTAGAACATGAATTCCCGTTTGCCTCTCTTGCCCACAGTAGACATTCGGAGGTAGGATTGCCTACCGTTGATGTTGGCATTGTCGAGGAAGCATTGCCTGGACTTGGTGCAATGAACAATGCGTAACACGTTGTGGAGACTAATGACGTTAACCCCACAACGAAGATGTGCCCACAACCGAGTTCGGGGAGGGCCACGCCGAATGCCATGAACAAGAGCCTCCCACCCGGATCGTTCTCCCACCGAACAAACCGACTCTATGATGACAGAACTAGAGGTTCCCGAGGAGCATACTGTCCCCGCATCCCGGGGAAAGGTCTTCGTGTACGAAAGCCATCTCGTGAAGCTTCGTGATTATGTCACTAACACCACTTTACAACTCGGTCCCTCAATTCGCACTCCACATTCAGACTTCCTCGTGTATGCCTTACAGTTTGACAAAGTACTTAAATTGTGCTAAATTCTCCTTCCCCACCGAACCTTTCTTGCAGCCCTTCATGCGGAGAGAGAACCCGTGCATTTCTTTGAAGCCGTTCGGGATGTTAGATGGAGAGATGCCATGGCTAGTGAAATTCAGGCCCTCCAAAGTAATGAAACATGGGACATTACTCCTCTACCGGCAGGGAAGAAGCCTCCGGGTTGCAAGTGGATTTATAAAATCAAATATCATTCCGATGGGAGCGTTGAACGCTTCAAAGCCCGATTAGTTGTCTTGGGAAATCACCAAGTTGAGGGGATTGACTATGACGAGACTTTTGCCCTGAGTGGCAAAGATGGTCACCATTCGGACAAGTGTTGGCAGTGGCAGTAGCCAAAGACCGGGAACTTCATCAAATGGATGTCCATAATGCTTTTCCGCACGGCGATCTTGAGGAAGATGTGTACATGAAAATGCCGCCGTGGTTCTTGGTGTCTCAAAAGGGTATGGTGTGTCGTCTCCGCAAGTCCCTTTATGGTCTTCGTCAAGCTCCTCGTGTTGGTTTGCCAAGCTCTCAACCGCTCTTGTTCAATATGGGTTTCAACGTTCTTCGTCCGATCACTCCTTGTTCATCTTTCGCAAAGGAGATGTCGAACCGGTTGTGTTAGTTTACGTGGATGACCTAGTCATTGCCGGCAATCATCATGAAGACATTGCGCAATTCAAAGATTATCTTCATCAATGTTTTCGTATGAAGGACTTAGGGAAATTAAAATACTTTCTTGGGGTGGAGGTTGCCGGATCTCCTACAGGAATTTTCTTGTGTCAACTGAAGTATGCGTTGGACATCATAGTCGAAGCAGGATTGCTTGGAGGGAAACTCGTGTCCACGCCAATCGAAGAAAATCATCGTTTAGCATTGGCCGATGGCGAACTACTTTC